ATAAAAATGATCATTTTTGTCCTTACTATAAGAAAAATGATGTAATCATACATTGATGAATGGAAATTGTCACTTAGCCTCAGCATGAAGAGATAATAAGGAATGGTGAGGATTGTGTTAAAAAGAAAAGCACATGACCATCTAATTATAAGGAAAGAAATGCAATTTTATAATGAGTAAAATATTTGAACATGTTACCAAAGAATATATATGGTTGACAAGTACATGAAAAGATTTTAAGTAATCTTTAGTAATTAGGGAAATGAGAATTAAAACCAAAATGAAACACTAATTGTTGTGAGGATAGTTGAAATTAAAAACACTGAGCACATTGTATACCTAAAATTATTTCTCAATTTTGAAACTTTTTAAAAAACACCGAGCATATCAGCTGCTGGTGAACTGAAATTCTCTTCCTTTTTGATGAGAATGAAAAGTCCTTTGGAAAGCAATATGATAATTTCTTTAAAAGTTAAACATATACTTACCAACTGTATATGATATAGCCATTTTATCACTCCTCGCCCAAAAGAAAAGGAAGCATATGTCTAAATAGGACATATATGTGTGTGTGTGTGTGTGTGTGTATATATATATATATATATATATATGTCTATAATGATGATCATATATAGAATGTTCACAAGCACTTTATTTAAAACATCCCCAGGGCCTCCCCTGGTGGCGCAGCGGTTGAGCGCTGGGCTGCGAAGCTGCCCGCAGCCTCTGCAGCGCCAGTTCAATCCCCGGCCGCCTGGTGAGGGTCCCACATGGCGCGCAGACCTCTCCTGCCTCCCGCTGCTCCCCTCAGCAGTGTACTTCCTCAGTCTGCCTGTTCTGCTCCCTGTTCTGGCTCTGGTAAATTCTCTCACCCTCCCGCGCTTCCAACTGTACCCTGTGCTTGTATAAATAAATAAATAAATCTTTAAAAAAAAAAAAAAAAGTCCCCAAACTGGAAACATTCTAACTGTTCACCAACATGTGAATAAGTAGACGATTTTTGGAATATCAACAGTAGACTACTATTCAGCAGCAGAAATAAGTGAATTCAACACATAAAAAAAATGGATGAATATCCAATTATACATAGTGACATAGCCAACCAAAGTAGAGAAAATGCTATATGATTATATTTATTAAAAAATTCTAGAAAATATAAATTAACCCTTAGTGATTGAAAATGATCAGTGCTTCCGCTAGAGAGTCAATGACAGGAAAAGAATGAGAAACTACAAAGGGGGCATAAGGAATCTTTGGTGAATATGCTCATCAATTTACCAAATTATGCACTTCGATAAGTATAGTTTATTGTGTGTCATTATACTTTAATTAAGCTGTTGAAAAAATAAAAATAAATCTCATGTCATTGATGTACAATACCTGATACGTGGATCAAAGACGGTAACATGGTTATGCTATTTCCTCGGCAACTCACAGGATGTGACCTAACAAGTCAGGGAACTTAGAATACCCGGAGGTCATGTCTGTGTGACAGGGTGTTGAGAGTTTTAATTCAGGAGATAAACAGATGTACAAGCTCTACTATGTGGTGGGAGGTATTATGCTGGGATCTGGTGATACAGAGTTGAATCAGACAGAATCTCTGCCATTAAAGGAGTCAAGATCATGACTCAGGTAAACGGAAATTTGTATAAGTCCCATCCAGAAGCACATAGAGAGGCTCATACCAGGCAGAACTGAGACTGAGCACTGGAATATCAATAAAACTAAATTGGCTCAGGAGGTATCTCTGAGAACCAGGTTCTGGCCCACTGACATCAAGTGTGAGCCACTCGGCAAGGGTTGTGGGCAGGGCAGACTCTCTTTCAAAGGGTGGGTAAGGTGTGTGCCCAAAGAAGGAAAGCACACACGTATGGAAATGGTCCATGTGAAGGAAAATGGAGAAACTGGCTGGCCTGGGGTGGCAAGCCCACAGAGAGAAGAGAGAAATAATGCACCAGGAACTGGGGTGTCAGGTGAGCGGGCTCAAGTTGGAATACGAGGGTCTCTTGAACCTACACTGAACAAGTGGAGCTTCAGTGGGAGGCACCGATGGGGAGCCACAAAGTATCTTCCTCAGTGCAGAGAGAGCTGTGGTCAGATTAGAGGATGGATTGAATCCTCTCCTGTGGCTCTGAACACTGGAAGTATAGTTAAGGACTTGCAGGCAGTCAGAGGAATAGATTCAAAGTAAGGCCAGTTTCACGTAAGGCCAGAGGGAGGATTCAGTCACTGCTCACCAGCAGGGACACACATGATCTTAGAGGAATGAGAGTCAAAAGGCTTTGACAAGGAGCCAGGAGAAGACACTATTCAACACAGGACAGAAACTGGTGACTCTGGGGTATAATGAGAAATGATCAGTGTATGTTAGGTGGACCAAGCTAAGGGGCTAAAAGTCAAAGACCACAGTCAATCTTGGAAGAAAACTCAGGACAGGGCCTCCCTGGTGGCGCTGCAGTTGAGTGCTGGGCTGCAAAGCTGCCCGCAGCCTCTGCAGCGCAGATTCGATCCCCGGGTGAGGGTCCCACAGGGCGCCCAGACCTCTCCGGCCGCTCTAGCTGCTCCCCTGAGCAGTGTACTTTGTCAGTCTGCCTGTTCTACTCCCCGCTGTGGCTCTGGTGAAATCTGTCACCCTCCTGCGCTTCTGACTGTACCTAGTGAAGGAAGGAAGGAAGGAAGGAAGGAAGGGGGAGAGAGAGAGAGAGAGAGAGAGAGAGAGAGAGAGAGAGAGAGAGAGAGAAAAAGAAGAAAAGAAAGAAAGAAAGAAAGAAGAAAGAAAGAAAGAAGAAAGAAAGAAGAAAGAAAGAAAGAAAGAAAGAAAGAAAGAAAGAAAGAAAGAAAGAAAGAAAGAAAGAAAGGAAAGAAAGAACTTAGGACACACAGAAACCAGAGTTGGCCAGAGAGAAATAGGAAGTACATCAACACATCTCCCAAGGGTGCTGGCTTTGTTTGCAATTGCCCAGGGACTCTGACTCTGTCCATTCTGGCACACCTCTACAGACCTATAAATAAGATGGAGGGGATCAAGTGATCACTCTATAATGCTTTTAAGTTTTTTTGTACATTGGAAAATGTACACAATAAAATAAGCAAAAAATGGCCCCTTCTATCTGTGCTCTTGGAATATGATTGTACACATTTTCCCAGTGAGAAGTGGACTGCTTTCTACTCTGTGAACCTGGGTTGGCCATGCAAGTTGATTGGAACAGTGGGGCATTTGCAAATATGACATACATGGAGGTTTGAAAAGGGCTTGTACGCTGGGCCTTACCATTTTGTTGTCCTTGGGGACACTGCATCTACCATCGATCATATAACCATCCTGGGCTAGACTCTTGGTTTATGATAGACACATGCTCAGTTGCCCCGTCACTTCAACCTCCAACCAGAAACCACCACACTCCTTTGTGGCACCATTAGCTGCTACCTGATCACAGATGTGCGACTGAGCCCTGCAGAGAACAGACCAACCACCCAGCAGAGCACATCTCAATTTGGCAACCCACAGAAATGTGAGTTGTGGTGGTCATTTTAAGCAAATAAGTTTTGAGGAAATTAGCTATGAGGCAAACGTTCACCAATACTTTCTGCCCAACATGCCTCCAACTTCACTCTGAGGGAGCTGTGTGAGAAGAATAACCTGTGGCCTCTGATATCACTGGCAAATTTTCAGGGAGAGGTCAGTGGTCATCCCTGGGGGCTACAGGGATGCTGACATGGGATGGGGACAGTGTGACATGAGAGCAAGTCTCAGTGTGACATGGGAGAAGGCTCAGTGTGGTAAGGGAGGGGTCTCTAGCTCCTAGAGGGGCTAGTTCATATTTAAGTCGAGGGCAGGTAGTTGCCAGGCTGAGAGGTAGAGGCCGCCCACAATTAGTGAGGGCTGGTGAGTGAGCCTAAGGGAACCAGAGCCGCAGCAATGCTGGGGAGGGCAAGGAAGGCAGGTAGTACCGGCGAGCTGAGAGCTCTCTTTCTGCTAAAGGAGAGCAAAGTCTTGGCTTATACTACATGTCTCTGGGGGGTCACACATCTCACCTTGGAGAAATTCCTGGGACTACGTTGTGAGGGCAGACATTCCAGAGAGAGAGGGTCTGGCTATGTGTCCTCCCTCTGATGCCCTCCTCCCTTAATTCCGAGCACCTCACTCCGTTGGGCCTCCCCATGCCTCCTTGTAACCTCTCCCTTTGCAAAGCTTCCAGGAGGTCAGCCTGTTGGCAGTTCTCGCCCCCCGGCCCTCCCAGGTGATCTTGCTGGGAGAGGGTTGGAGACTGCAGATATGAACCACCACTTTCTAGCCTTCAGCATTCTGGCAGTGATTGGTGAGTGCAGCTTCCTATTGTGGATTAAATTTTTTTTAAGTTCATATTGGAGGAAAGTGCAGGAAATGGCCCTAGATTAGAGGGGTGGAGAAATCATCAGTTAGAGAGATAAGATTTCAGAACTCCAGTGATTGGCAGATTTTTAGAACACAAAGTATTCTCAAGAGCCCATGGATTTTCCTCTGGCTCCTTGGGCACAAAAGGAGATCGGGGCTGAGAGAATGAGACCTGACTCAGGGGGTGGTGTCGGCAGCAGAATGGGATGTTGCTGCACAGCTAGGAAGGAAGCTAAGAGAAAAGAAGGAAAAGTCCAGAGGAAGGAAGGGAAGACAGGTGAAGTGAATGAGAGGTAAACACAGAGAGGAGTCTAAGGGAAAGTCAGCAAAGGATCCTGAAATATTTCTGTAATTCCCCAAATATCAATAACAGAGTGGTCATTTCAAAGCAAAACCACATAAAGCACCTGCCCCTGTCACTTTCCCTTACCTGGCAGCAGTAACAGTTATAATCACAAAACGAACACCTGCTCAAGTGAGGTCATTTTGGAAACTCCAGCCAAAGAAGATGAAAAATGGACCAACCTTGCTTTTCCTGTACTCAGAAAATGAGCCTTGTCTGGGGACCCTGATCCACGAACAGTGGATTCTCACCGCAGCCCACTGCTTCTTGCCGTGAGTGATGAGGGTCATGGAGGGAGAGGTTTCCCACCCTTAGCCACTGGGATTGTTCAGGGGGGACTGATGCTCCATTGCGAGGAGACTTGCACAGGGGCCTGTCAAGACTGAGGATTGATTGGACCAAGTTGGGGAGAGTTCCAAGAGGCTCTGAGCCAGATTCCTACATGGGATGATGTGGATGGAGGGAATCGGGGAAGCCGAGGACCAGGGGATGGACCAATAAGGAAAAAAACCCTGCACACCCTGCAGTCTGGGTCTCAGAAGTCTGGAATTGCAATGGAAAATGCTTGTTTGCCAGGCTAGGAGATGGATGTCTTGGCAATTTATGGAGGAAATCCTTGAAAGTCTAAGCATGTTGGGGAGAAAGAATGTAGGATGAACAACAGAATATTGCAGTCCTCATTAATACTTTATGAAATTTTCTAGATTACTTAAGGTAGATATTGCTTCAAAAGAGATATCACTAAACAAGACGGATAAGTTAATACCCGAAATATTTCTTCAACACCCAAATTTTACCATGGATACTCCTGATAATAACCTCATGCTCATCAAGCTGAATGTTCCTCTAAAGCTCAAGCAGGTTAGCCTGGCAGTTCTGCCTGACACCATGGATGATAGAGAAGGAGAGAAGTGCACTGTCTTTGCCTGGGGCTGGTCTGAGTGGAACTATCGTAAGTTACCCCACAAGACAGGCACTTAGTGTTCCTTGAACCCACTTAGTGAGGATCATTGCAGAATGATTGTTATAGATCACGCGAGGCAGATGCGGTTTGATCATTTATATATCTTAGCCTTCATACTTAATCAAATGGAAACTGAGGCCCAGTGGAGACTTGATGTGCTAACACGATTATTTAAGGCTGGAGTTCTGGAATTTAGTTTGTTTGCCCATCACCACAGTGAGTGGTAAAAAGGCATGTGGGGGAAGAGAAGAGTTTGGAGGGTAGTCCCATGAGTGAAGCTGAGTGGGGCTTATTCATTATACACTTACTGACAAGTCTTCACAAATAAAAGCCTGCACACACCAGCACAGGGCATGCAGTTATAGCACTGGAACCAGCGTTTTGAATTCCCATTTTTTATATTTTTTCCTTCTCTTATTTCATTTTAATTGTTTTTTCTTTAAGTGAATGATAGGTTAATAACAGAAAAGAGTAATAACAGAAGGAGCGAGGAAAGAGAGATGAATACATACAGTACCAAAGAGAGAAGCAGTGTGTGTGTGTGTGTGTGTGTGTGTGTGTGTGTGCGCCCGCTTGCACACATGCACACACTTGCATCCAACATGTGGGCCCATTCTCAGTCACAGGCCTTGAACCCGATATACAGATGAACAGAAATGTCTTCTTTCTCCCAAATGCATTGTGCCAAGCAATTGAAAAATCAGTGACAATTCAAATGACAAAAAAAATGTTCTGTGCAGGATCAAATATCAACACCATAAGTCTATGTAAGGTAACTCTTTTCCCTCTGCCTCTCCTAAGTTTGGTTTAGGAGATATTTTTGGTCCACCTATCTTCCTCAAACCAATCAAACTAGTATCCTGTCTCTACATCCAAGAAGATTATCCAAGTAAATGGGATCCAGGAAGGAATGTTTCTTCCATCCAGTCACAAATGAACCTAGACCTCAGGCTGGAAACATCTCAGAGTGGTCTGATTTCTCAGACTTCCTCTGATGTGGCCTTGGGTGAGTGGTGGGACAGCCCAATATGGCCATCAGAATTTTCTTCCAATCCTTATTATTGAAACCTTTTATTCTGGGACCCTCAGCTCAGGGCTTGTTATTAGACATCCTTGTTTGGGCTACCCTGCCTGATCCTCCTCTTCTCCTAACAGGAAATGAGTGCTGCCCCAATCCTGTGCCAAAATCAGCTCTATGGCATCCTGTCCTGGTCGAAAGGGTGTGCTCTGAGAGGTGATGTTGGCTACTACACCAAGATCTCCCACTACACAGACTGGATCCTCAATGTCATCAGAACCTACTGAGCTTCTCTATTCCATATCCTAGGGGCAAGACTGGGTCTATCGCCTTTGGTCTTTCCTTTCCTTGCAGCCTCCGAACAAGATGGAAATGGAATCTTTGGCTCCAAGGGATTTGTCTTTATTCTTTTCTCTTGATTCAATCCAGCCCAGATGGTCATCAAAGGACTTGAGCTGGATAGTGTCTCATAAATGCTTAACTTGTCACTACTCTTTTCTTCTCCTCCTTCAAAGTCCTACTCACCAGCCTTGGTTTCCTCAAACTGATCTAGACTGTTCTCTTCCCACCACCCTCCAGAAACATATGGGACTGGGATGTGACAGCCAGATGTGGGCACCTCAAGGTCACTCTTTGGTCTGACATCACTTAGTGCGGAGTCAGGCTTCAGCCTGACCTTCTCCCCCGCCATAGGTGATAAGGCTGAAGAAAATGCTGGTAAGCTAAATGGGCTGCTGGCAATGTAATTATGAAAAATGGAGATGAAATTTTCATGACAGCAAGAACTATTCTGGTTTTTAAAATGTCTGGAGGGCCTCTCTGGTGGTGTAGTGGGTTGAGCACCGAGCTGTGACGCTGTCCGCGGCCGGCCTTGGAGATACCCACATGGCGCAGCAGACCTCTCCTGTCTTGCCCACTGCTCCGCCTAGCAGTGTATTTCAGTCAGTCTGCCTGTTCTGTTCCCTGCTCTCTCTCTGATGAATCCTCTCACCCTCCCGCACAGCTGGCCTGTACACTGGTTCTTATATGCATAAATAAATAAATAAATCTTTAAAAACAAAAAGAGTTTCAATGCTTAAAAAATAAATAAATAAAAATGTCAGGAGAGAAAGCAGAAGGGTGAATGGGGATGGGTCTGACCACTGATAGGAAAATAGGGGTGATCCTTTGAGAGATTTTTTTCTAATGCTAAGCACAGAAAAGTCGAAGCTAGATGACTTGAAAGGGAATACTAGAAAGACAAGAAGTGGGTGGTGAAACCAAGGTGAGTATTGTTGTGTGCATGTGAATTTTCACCTGCACATCTTTGTGTTTAGATTGGAGAGGGTGTGTGTACAGAATTATCTTACTAATCTAAACAAATCCTTCCTTCTCCATTTGCCAATCAGCTGATATTTGTCTAATTCCACTTTTATCTGCTGTTATCCTACCTTTACAAATGTTTAAAAACTGAAACATGTCTTATACTTTTTGTTACAGCATTTTCAGTTGGAAATTGTTTAAGAAATTGCTAAAACTAATCTGGAGAGTTTTTGTGTATGGGCGATGCCCCAAAGATAATGTCTTCTATAACAATAGTGAAATGTCAAAACTAGAAATTCCTACTGGTGCAATGCTGTTCACTGAGATGCAGAACCTAATATGGAGTTCACTTGTTTTTCTTTACTTACACTTTATTAGGGCCAAAATTTAAAATCTGTACATTTGTGGATTCCTATAACTATCACACATACAGATTCCAGGTGTTCTATCACCAGAAAGAAATCTAATGTGTTACCCTTGATAATCACACGTCCTTCCAAGCCTGAACCCTTGTAATCCCTGACCTAGTCCTCATCACTACAATTTTGTCACTTCAAGGGTGTTATTATGAAATACATACAACTTCATGCTCTTTTTTACTTTTGTGATGTTCCAAGTGTCTTTTGGAACATTTCATTTATCTTGAAACACCTTCACTTTGCCATTCTTTTAGAACTGGGCTGCTGGTGACAAATTTTAGCATTTCCTCACCTTTCCTGAAGGACAATTTCTGAATAAGGAATTCTGGGTTGACCATATGTTCTTTTCAGGATTTGGAAAATGTTTGCCTGTTCCTTCTGTCTTTCATTTTCTGAGAAAATATTTGGAGTCGCTTGAATCTTTCTTCTCCTGTTAGTAGCACATGGTTTCTCTCCGGTTCTGGTTGCTTTGAAAATTTCTGTCTTTCTTTTCAGAAGTTTGACATGATGCGCCTGGCTGTGAATTCTTCGAAGTTGGTCCAATACATCCTTCCTCTTTTCAGAGGCCAGGAGCAGAGTCAATCAAGCTGGTGCTTGCTCTGCCTTATAGCCCCTTTGGGGGCCCCACCCTAAAAGCCTGATTGAATCATTTTCAGTTCTAAGCATCTGATTGGCCTTTTTATCACCAATCAGCTGATTTTGCATTTTCTTTTTGTTGTTGTTGTTTTGTTTTGCATTTTCAATCCAAATAATTAACTATAAATTGAGCTTGAAACTTATTGGTCCATTTAGAATCCTAGAGCCAGGTATAAAAGCAGGGGTGGGGGGGAGTCCAGCCCAGCCTGCATTCAGGGCAGGGCAGGATTGTGGGAGCCATGGCTGAAGCAGGCCTCACTGGGGTTGAGGGAGTGGGAACATCCACAGGTGATGAGCTGAGGCTGCCACCACTCAGTCCCAACATAGATACCTTACCCTGTGGCCTCCGGGTGCCACAGGAACTCCGTTATAGCTCTATTTTCCTACAGATAGAGCGAGGTTACTTGGTATGCTCAATGATTTCAATTTTCTTTGCCATTTTCATGAGCAAGGTACCTTGAAGAGTCTCATATTTACCTACAATTCTGACCTTCTTGGTGCATTTTGCCATGTTGCCATAAACAAGGGCCGAAACCAGAGAGTCTGGTTGATGATTTTCCATATTTGTGTACTTTAAAATTTTTGTATTTGATCTAATGGTATCCTTGTAAATCTAAATATAGTGCAGAATAAGAAAGGCTTCCAGCTCCAGGGCAAAGCCCCTTGGGAGTTCAATTTAGAGCCTTTATACTATCAGATAAAAAAGTATTCTTTTTAGGATTAGTCAAGCTAATTTAATAGTACCGTTTTAAACCTTTTATCAGGAAATCCTCAATTTCTTGTATTTGTTCAGATACATTATTATCAAATATAGATTGGTGCAAACTCTAAATCACAATATTCTCTACCAGTCTCATGAATTTTGTCTGTAAGACCTGGTTATATTTTCATTGATTCTATTAAATGCTATTTTTCTGAAACAAATGAATCCTTTTTATTTCTAATACTGTGTTTATTTCACTGAAAGCTTTTTCCCTCAGGCTTCGTGTCAGTGCACACATTCTGTGTCACCCATTTGTGCTCCTGATTTTCATTTCTCCTTCATGCTATCGCCCATAGATGAAGGAGGTGGAACAAATGTGTCAAAACTGTATGTGAGGGGTGGGTGAATGGCTGAATGTTTAGGTATGAAAATGTGGGTGTGTGTTTAAGACTGCATCTGTCGGTATGTGGGAGCAAAAGTTCAAAGAGCAAGAATGTGTGCTAGAATTCAGTGGCTGCTCAAAACTGCATAATGGTTTTGTTTTTTTATTTCAGTTTTCAATTAAAACTCTGGTTTTCAGTTTTTGAATATTGTGCGTGTACATTGTTAAGATCTCACATTAATGTAAATCCATGAAATTTAATAGAATCCATGAAATTTTTAGGAAACAGTTGCAAAGATCTTGTTATGAAATGTCATCTATCATCCTTGAAATATAACATTTCACAACACTATATGACCACTGTCTAATATGTTTATATTTAAATCATTCATATGTTCTTAATTACTTTTTGACCTTAAACTTGAGAAGATGAAAGAGCTGAAACTTGACTTTATCTGATCCTTTGTTTTGGGATGAAATGCCCTTAAAATTTATCACAACCCCCTCCCCTACACACACACCAATATATCCCTATTTTTTGCAGCAATTTGTTTTTCAACCTGAATTTTAATGTTAAAAGCTTTGGATAAACTGATTTTCTAAGCATAACAAGTAGATTTTACTATGATTCCCCCCCCCACAATAAATCAATAGCTCAAGGGCACTTGTATAAGAATCAATATTCTTAGATTCTGCTTTAGATTTGACCCTAACCTGGCACATAATCCTGAGCAAGTAATGTTATTATTCAAAACACAGTCCTCGCATAAACTGAGGTGGTTTAATTAGATAATCTCCAAGGCCTTTTCAAGGTTCATGATTCCTTAAAAGAGACATGATTTATAAATCACAAATCTTACCTTTGTGGCTAATAGGAAAGATTACGAACTACTTGTGAAAGCTTATTTAAAAGCTTTTTTTAATTTAATCTTAAACCTGATAACAGATTTATATATTTAGTTGTGAATAAAAATGCTTGAAATTACTCATTTACTTTTCCTTCTTTTGTCTCAATTTGAAACACACTTAGAACGCAAAGGAGATGAAATACTAATGATGCAATAAGCTTTGCAAAGGAAAGGACTTTGCTTTGGTCACTGCTAAATCCCCAGTTCCCAGAACAATACCTGACATAGGGAGGAACTTAAAACTTGCTAAATGAATAATTAAGAAAGTGCCAAGATGGCGGAATTTATAAACCCCAATGGGAAAACTGAAAACTTTGTAGGAAGATGATAATTGATGTAGGCTCTAGGAGTGAGCTAGAGTTGGCCAAGCAGAGGCAGAAAAGACATCCCAGGCAGGGCCAAGTGAGTTGTGGCGGATACTGTGAGTTGCCTCCACTATACACTCTTCTTCCCTTCCTAGGAACAGAATTCCTGGATCCGTGACCATAGGCATGAAGGCTTCATTTTCCAATTCTCATGAGGCTTGGGGTAGTCAGCTGACTGGGATTTAGTCTACTGGATTAGTTATGCCTCTGATAACGCTTCCTTAACTGGAGGAAGATGACGTCTTCATTTCCTTCCTCCTCACTGACTAACTGCAGATTTAATGGATTATGGTGTTTTATAATACATAAATTTAGCTATTCTGAACAATTCCCTGAATTTCTTTTCCTGAAAGAGGAGGGATGAATGGTAGAGGATGGTAAAACAGAGGGAGGGAGGAAATGGAAAAGGCATGCCGCTAGGTGTGAAGCAGCAACTGCTCCATTTTGCTCTGAAATCTCCCTCAAAATTCTAGTTTCTCTGCTTAGTAAGGTGCTATAGGGTAAAATGGTTTTTCAGGCTTTTCTGCCCTCCCACCATTAGGATTGCCCTGCCCTACCTTCAGCTTTGTGTAAAGCAGAGAATATGCCTAATGAATTTGAACATCTAGCTAAGGAGACTTCCATGAGTGTTGAAGATGTAGCCTGCTTATGATACGATGTGAAAGGTCTCATAGCAGGAATTTAGAAAACTTAAATAAGGGACCAGGAGAAAGACTAATTATAATAAAGTAAAAATCAAAATCAATAAGCAACTATAAACCAGAGACACACTGCGGGGGGAGGGGAGGAGAGGTTAGGGGCAAAATGGGGGTGGGTGGGAATTGTATGGGGAATATAACCAAGATAAAAATGCATACATTGTGCAAAAATGAAAAAATGATGTAAAAAATATACAAAATACAAGAAATAAATAAAAATACAGCACAATAAAACAATACAATGTGAAAGGAAAGAGGTGCCTTCGAAGGACAGCTACTAAGCTGGTCATTTTGAAGATTCTTGGTCTCTCTAGATAGCAGAAGTTGATCAAATTAAGAAAAGGTTTTGAGTAAAGTTCTCATCCAAGGCACTGCCAGGAGAAAAGGTTTAGGATGAAGCCAAGAATGTGACTTCAAAAATCCAAAGCGATTTCTCCATACATTATTCAGTCACACAGCAGGCCCTTTGAAAAGATTGAGAGTGTGTTCCTGTTTTGTTTCTCTACATTCGACATAGATATGACACCATCTGGTATAAAACAAAGGGTCAGATATAGCCAAACTAGTAACGAACCCTAGAAATCTGACTGTAGAACTGAGCCTCCCA